CAAAACATCCTGATTTAACCGAAACTTCCTCAATAGGTAGGGACAAAGTAGGGACCATTATGGGTCGAATGGTGGGCATTTGGAGGCTTATCTTATCCTAGCTGTTGTAGCGAACTCACCATCATCTTTAGGCGATGGAGGACAGTTCGATGCGTAGGATCCTAAATGGTATCCGGTATACGAATTCTGATGCATCGGAGGAAACGGATAGGCGCCAAGGGCGCCTCTTGGGCTCGGAAAGCCCGTATCGTGGGCACCTGGGGGTCCTGAATGCGCATTTCCCGCCGGCGAATTAAAGTGGTGCTGATAGGATGTCCGTAAGGGACCGTAACCGTGCTGTTGGAGCTCGATAAAAGCACTTTTCGATACTGGCGTAGAGTTGCTGGAGTCGTGAGGGGTGGGAGGACCCAGATGAGGCTCGCCCGACATCGTAGGAGTCCCTGGCGGATCCTCGTTTGGTCCCCCGAACGGGGACCCGAGATCCGTGAAGTTTAACGTTGTGAAAGGTTTGTTTTCCACTTTGATGAAATTCGGAGGCGTCTTGAATAAACTGGGAAATGCCCAGCAGCTCACTGCGCAAACTGTAACACACTAGCAATTAAGCCGGGAAACCAAGTCACCAAAAGAGACCCGATTGTCGTCCGCTGATAAAAAGCGCACAAAGTCACTAACTGTATCCGAAACCAATAAAGTCACGGCAATTGTCGAGGAAAAACGAATAAACAAATCGCATCAAAATATCGAAATTACTTTAAACAGTTAATAACATTAATCGAAAGACCCGAAAGCAATTTAGCGTATTCAACTGCGATAATACGTGTAATTCACACTATAATTGAGTAAAAACTATTTGAAGATTAACCCGAAACCAAATTACACGAAATTGAGCGCATATGTCGTTTTTTTACGTCGAAAATTGATCGTTCAAAACCAACCATCTACTTCCTACGAGCGTAGGGACTATAATGAAGAATAATCATATAATAGTCGGCTTGGGACGCCTAGTTGCACCTTTCAACCGGCAGGTTTCGCTACCATTCAGCGCTACATCGAGGCTACGCCGCCTCGAACGTTTTTCATTGGTTTGGAGTCGCGTTACGAACCGATCGGGGACTTGTTATTACCAGATTTCAGGCCGAAAAGGCGGGACTCTTTCCAACATTATCACGCCCTTGCAGACTTCAAGGCGCTCGCTTTTTAGGTTAAGTCTCACAGAACTTCTCGCTATTAACATATTGTTGCCGCTTTGCATACTTGCGGTATTCCATAACAGTGCAAATAAAGTGAACAGAATATCAACCAACTAACCAAACAACGCTTAAAACTGCTTGGCATCAGTTGGCGATTTTCGGGGGTTTTGTCCAATTGAGCCGGACGTTTCGCTAGACCGCATGGCTAGCATCTTCAGTGTTGGACTTCCAGTCTTCGGACTAAACGGAATAAATTTATTTGGTTTTTGGGCCAAATGCGAAGCTGAAATTGGTTGTTGTTAGAGAAACTTTCAATCTTTTCAGAGCGATGTGGAAAGGGAGTTTTCCAAATATTTTTTTGCAAACTTTTGCTCCCCCTGACGGTTTTTCAAGATAATCTTAATTACCCACTTTCGGTAAAAAACTGAATAACACTATTTGGTTTTTGTGCCATATTCGAGGCTGAAAATGGTTTTCTAAAGTTCCCTGCAGACCGATGAATGAGGCGACTTTTCTAGCAAAATTAATTTTGTAATTTCTGTCTGAAAATATCCCATTATTGTCAGAAAATCATCAGAAAATAATGGGTTTTTTGCGTTTGCCATTATAAAACTTTTAGTTTTGTGATCGGTTTTGGAGGAAACCGGGTTTTCGGGGAAAAAACGGCAGGAATTTATTTTCCTTTTGTCTCGAATTCAACCCTGAAAAGTTTTTGTAAATTTTTACAAAGCTATAAATTTA